GCCCGTCCTGCAGCAGAAGGAGACCATCGGGAGCCAGCGGGAGGCCATCCGGGAGCTCACTGGCAAGCTGAGCCGCTGCGAGGGCGCCGACGGCAAGTCCGCCGCGGGGACCTGGAAGAAGGAGCTGGGCAAGGGCAAGGACACCATGGGCGACCTGCCGCGGGACCCGGCGCAGGTCATCGACCAGCTGAGCCGCACCATGCAGACCCTGAAGGACCGGCTGGAGAGCCTGGAGGTAGGGCCGGGGTGCGGGGTGGGCCGGCCTCCCTGCCTCCCTGCCTGCCCTCCCGCGCAGAAACTTGGGACGAGTTCATGGGGAACCGGGGCTGCGGATGCGGCCAGTGTGCTTGGTCTTAGTGGAGATAAAGCCAAACTGGCCAAGCCTGGCTTGGCTTTTTTTCTTTTTTTTTGTTTGCTTATTTATCGGCTTGCTTTAGTGGTAAAAAACCTGAAGGACTCCTCTGTGAATGTGTTCTCCCACTGTGTGGGGAGGTTATGGTTTTCCTGCTTGTCACCAGCTTAGTTTCTGTATTAATGTGTCCAAGTCTCTCCTTCTGGGAGTGTGACTTCATGGGGTTTGAGGTATAAAGCTGGCATCTTGGGCAGTAAGACCTTGGCATGTGGTACTTCTCGTTACCAGTGGTAATGAGAAGACTGCGTTGGGCAGATTGTGAAGAGAAGATGAGGTGTTTAGAGCTGACATAAAGTGAAAAGAACCTGGTTCTGTATGCCTGTGAGTAGAAAGGCGATTTGGTCCAAGCCCACCAGTAAGTCACTTCCATGAGCCTTTGGCCAGTGCCCGTGGTTGAGTGGCACTCACAGAAATATTTTGCGGAGTGTATTCCCACAGGAATCATGCTGGGTGTTGTTTTGCTTTGCACACACTGAGAGCTGTGTGTGTGTTCCCCAGACAGTCAGTGGTGATGTGAGGATTGGTGAGTAACTTCCTAAAGGTTATTCTGTGAGGTCTGCTGGACTGCTTTTCAAGTACGGTTTTGAATGATTTGATAGTGCAACATCCTTTGATTACTGTTGCTGTGTTTTAGAGGCATTTTTTAGGGTTGTAGAAGAGAAACTCCACTAGAATAATATGGGAGGTGGAACTGTTGGTTTCTTAGTATCCTTAAAGATATGAGTGTTATTTGATAGGGTGTGGAGTTTTTGCAGTTCAAATAAAAGTGCTTTCTCTGGTTAATACTTACAGTTGATCTAAAGAACATCTGACTTCCTTACTTTACAAATTGAAACTAAGGAAACTTTCATTTGGTAGTTTTGCTTTTGAAGTAGCTTAACTTTTTACTTAAAAAGAAATTATAGTCTTTCTGTTTACTTACAGTGGCAAAGTCACTTGCAGTAAGTAAACAAAATTGAATAATCTGCCACACGTACCCTTACCAATGGGAGTGCATCAGACCTGGCTGCCTATATTGGCTTTATTGAAATTAAATGTGTGCAAACTCCTTCATATGAAATGCTGGAAGCCGCTAACAAAAGTGCCCTTTTGTTTCAGGACCTGTTTTGCTACAGTGCTGATAAAAGCACTGAACATGACAAGTGCTAAAAAGCAATGCCTCTTTTGTACTTGGAGAACTCGGTGATCTTGCTTTCTTCCCTTTGAATCAGGAGTATATCCACATTTCGCAGCTTCTGTTTTAGAAATGACAATTTTTTTCTCATTTCCCCTAAAGCATCAACTCCGAGCCAATGTGTCGTATGCAGTACTGCCTAATGACCTTCGAGAGATGCTTCAGCGGAGGCTTGGAGACCTGGAACGCCAACTCCTGAGCAAAGTGGCTGAGCTCGAGGATGAAAAGTCTTTGCTTCATAATGAGACGTCAGCCCATCGGCAGAAGCTAAATGCTTCCCTATGCTGATTAATTTTGTTTACTCCCTCCTTCTAGTGCAGTAGTCTAAATGTGGGCCTTGAGGGAAAGACGGTTAAGGTGCTGGACTAAATAGTAGGTGACAGTGCAAATACTTGGATTCCCTTTTTCCTTTTGTCACAGACATTGTGCTTGACAGGCTTTTGCATGACTTTGGCTTCCTGTCTCTTAGTTTGGCATATGTGGGTGGTTAGGATGAAATTCTTAGTGTTTGTGAAGCGGAAAGATCTACACAGAGGCAAGTGGAAATAGGAAGAAGTGTGTCTGGTGTCAGGTAAATACCTAGATAATGTCAAGTACATCTCTAAACAGAGCTGTCTTTCTTTATTTGGACTGAAAATCATACGGGCTAAATTATCACAGCTACCTTTGATGTAATGAATGGCGTTTTACATCAGAACCATATCCTGCTGCTTTGGAAGTATTGCTGATGGTCTTTCCTTTTTTGCTGGTTATAACCTTGGGTAACTGCAAATACTTGAATTGTCATATACCAAGCACATAACCTTCACAGTTTACAGTAGATTACACATGGTGCCACTGGGGGACATTCTCTTCATCCTAGTCATTTATTCAGATACTTCGATTAATTATTACTGAGATCTGTATGCATGAGTAGAGTCTATTTATTTGAATTAAAAATGCCCATGGAAAGGAGCTAAAGAACAAAACTATTGTTGTGTAGTGACTATATACACCTACAGAGTGGACTGTGTAGGGCTAGAGTACCAGTAAATATTGCTGCCCAATCTTTAAATGATTTTCCAAGGTGAACAGGCTCTTTGCTTAAAAGCAGCTTAATGGACATGCTTTTGAAATGGTGCAAACATACATATCTCATGAATTTTAAAATGCAGCTTAATGGATCCATTTCTGTAATATCTATTTTCATTTTAAAAGTGTGAAGGAGGGGGAAAAAAGAAGGATGAAGACAAGTTCTTCTACTGGCTCAGTCATTTACTATTGCCTGACAGGCAAGATAAAGCATAAACTGCAACTAAATTTCTGGAGCATTAGGGGCCTGTTGATGTCTTGCATGGCAAGTATTGCTAGTACTTTTCTCTGAAAGATGTGACTCATATTGGCAAGTCATCAGAAAGAGAAAGGGAGTGGTGGGAGAACAAGAATGTGTAACTTAATTTAAAAATAGCCTGTTCCCACCTTTATTTTTTGTGTGGGGAGAGACGGCTGTCTTAAGTCTCCAGGGAAGGAAAGAATTTGGGCCAGGAACCAAGACAGGCTTTTTTAGTGGTGTAATTTGCTCTCTATTACAGTGCGTCCTAGCTGTTCTGTGCCTTTGGTTCCTCTGTCAAATCAAAGTGAGCGTAATAATGATCTAAGAACTTAATGATTTTGTGGATTAAATGCTGACACTTTTGTTTTAAATGCCATATTGCTTAGCATTTCTTCCTGACAACTAACTAGAGTGTCATAAGCTCCTTGTTGTTCGGAGACTAAATAAACAGAGGAAAAAAACTCATCTTATAAAATGACACTATGAACAGATTCTTCTCTCTGCAGTTGTGACAGATAGTTACCAGTGGGGCAGAAGAGTTTGAAGTTTGTACAGTTGTACAAACTTTGTTGGGATTCCCAAAGTCTTCTGGTAATTCTTTCACTGGTTGTCTCCATCAACAGCAGCAGATGATGCATTAAAAAGCAGGACTGGGTGGAGGAATGATCTGGCAACTCATAGTGCCTGGACTTAAATGTGATTCCTAGCTTTGGAGACATGAACAGGTCACTTGCTGTGTCTAAATCTATTTTCTTCATCTCTAAAAGGGAATAACAATAATCTGTGACCCAAAATGATTCAGATTCTTTAGGAAAAGGATTGTCTTACCCTGTGCATGTGCCCATTGTCCAGAACAGGAGGACTTTGTTATCATTTGGACTTGTGGATGTTTTCAAGTCATGAGAACAAACTGAAAAATATAAGAAAGGTTAATATTGTTTGTTCTTTTCCAACCCATTATTGCTTCCTTAAGTTCTTTCACAGACTGACTAATGGCCTTAATGGAGTGTGTTTCTTTTCAGTATGTGAGATTGGTTGTACCAGCCTAGTGGAGGTTGCTAAACGTTAGCTCTAAGACCCTGGGGTGTTTTTTTCTTAGAATTTAGAATATTTTGTTTTTTGGTCTAAGTTGCTGAAGACAGATGTAAGCATCAGACAAGCTTTTTCTTCTTCCACCCCCTCGTTCTGTGAAAAATGCTGTCAAAACACTTCAGTTGCTTCTGAGAATGGGAACTGAGAGAATGCCAATGGTTTAAAAATTACATATGAGAAATGTGGCAACCTTTTGTGGCAACAGCTCTTTATTTGGATTGGAGTGAAGTATGGCAAGGGGACTGAATTTGTTTCAGGAACGTGAGTAAAAGAAATGAGTGGGACTCAGAAGAACAGGTTGCCGAGAGGTTAAGGGTGACGCTACTACAGAACTGTAGGGTTTTACTTTGTGGCACAATGTGGGTTTTCTCTCTTCTTAGTATTTAATTCTAGAAAATTACTTGTAAGCAACTAGATCAAAGTATACACAAACTATATAATGCAGAGTATTGCAACTTTAGAAAGTTTTGGTCTTAAGAGTTCTCAATTTTATAAACATATGTGTAGAATATCTGGCTGGTTTTATCACATCCTTTAGAGAAAGCTAAATAATAATTTCTGCTTTTATATTAAAACAAATGTCTAGTGTTTGTGGTTCCTAACTTTATATTGCATTTTTCTTCAGGTCGCTTTGAACTTCAGCTTTATGGTTTTGTTCGGATCTCCTCCTGATTTGTCTATGGGACAGAAATCAGTTCTACTGAATTTAACTCTGCTTCCTGTAATATGTCAGCTTTTTCTTATTTCAGACTGGCCACTCAAAATGAGAGCATAAACCTGTTTCTCAGCCTGCTATCTCTAAAATGGGGATGCAGCTGCGAGCTCCCTGTGTAGCAGCAGTAGCGAAAGAAACACTGTTTTTGAAGCACTGTGCTTTAATAATGAGCATACCAGAGAATCTATGTTTAGTGACAGTAAATATCTTTTAAAACGGTTTGAGTTGTTTGAAATAGGCAGGCCTCCAGCCATGAACTAAGCAATGAGGAAAGAAAATATTTAACAGCCTCTCATTAGTTGTCTGCCATCTATTCTTTTGCTCTGAATGAACAGGAAAAGTAAACCAAGTAATTAGCATGATGTGTATAAAACCTAGTTGTATTTTTCTGTGCTGCAAAATCAACTCAGTAATAGTACTTCAATATATTTTTTGTGTACCTCTGAAGTGATTAAAATTCCAAAGATTCTGAATATCAATGATATTGTTTCTTAACCTGAATTACAAATACATTGTTTTGTTTCATGTTAAAGGTTTTTCTTCCTCAATGTAATTATAGGTAACAGTGCATTTAAGTCACCTGATGAATTCAAAGTCTCCCTTCCTCTTCGCACAAACTACTTATATGGGAAGATCAAGAAGACTCTGCCAGAGCTGTATGCTTTTACTGTATGCTTGTGGTTGAGATCAAGTGCTTCTCCTGGAATTGGCACTCCATTCTCATATGCTGTTCCTGGCCAGGCTAACGAAATTGTCCTCATAGAATGGGGGAATAATCCAATTGAACTGCTAATTAATGATAAGGTGAGAATTGACTAACTTTTCTTCATTGTCTACATAATGAGAAAAAGGCCCAGACCCTTGGTACCTCACTAGTAACTCTTTCATTCTCTTTGAGAGAAGCTAGCTCTGGGCCTTTGAGATGGTAGCATCTACTTGTCTGTTGTTGTCCATCTGTTTGTTGCAAGTTCATACAAGTACTCAAAACAAAGTTGAATGGTACATGTATTTGTGTGTTGAGACAAAGCAGTGTGACATCTAGATGTGCACACACTTATGCATGTCTTCTGAATTTACAAGCAGATCTTGGCTTCTGGGGTTTTATGAAATAAAGCAATATTTGAAGCCCTGCTATTGCAAAACCTCTGAAATCTAAGCCAGTTGCAGTATTTCTGTCTTTCTAATCCTAGAAGTTCAGATATGTTAAAAGAATTTTGCAGAAGACAGAGCAAAAAGCATGTAATTGTGGCTGGTTTTGTTATGCGTAGTGACTGAACATCAGTTTAAATACATTTTTTCAGACTTTAGATACAAAAAGCAACAAATCTCACACTACTTCATACCACTGATGGTTTCTCACAAGGTTCAGAATGAGGCTTGAGGGAAAGAAGACCTGTTGAAATTTGGCATTAAAACAGGTTATAAATACTTCCTTTCTCCCCACCTTCAGTTAGGCTTCCTAGTAACTTGCTGCTCTCTGAGGGATCTGGTGTTTACAGATCTACAACACAACTCAGGTAGTTCAGTCATGTGGCTAGTTAAGAACTTTTAACAGTCCTGTCATTCTCCCAAATCAGTAAAGGTGAAAAGCCAAATATTTGTGATGTTTTGTGGAAGAGAAGGAAACTTGAGTCTGCTTATTTTTAGCAGTAACTTTTTCTCTTCAATATCATGTCTGTACTAATAATGTTCCATGAGGCTTTTCTTCAGCATCACAGCTGCTCCATAGCCCACTGCATTTGTGTCTTTATGTTGACTTGAGTAAGTTTTCACATCAAATTCCTAAAGGAGCATAATTCCTCCTTGTTTGGAGCCCTACGTAACAGTTCCTGCAAGTTTTACTGGAAGCAGGCAGATCCATTTGTCAGAGTTGTTACTGCAAATGGTGCAGGCAAACCCCAGATTTGTGAGCACTGGGTGGAAAGTTAGGACTAATCACTGAGATTTAAACAACAAATACCACAGATTAATATGCAGGATCAGTGGATTGATAGCAGCTTAGACTCTGGTACTTCTGTTGCTTGATTCCTGATGAAACAAAGGCTCACATCTAGAATAAAAAGCATGGTTTTATTCCTCAATTCAGGAGAGCTGGATGTGGATTAACTTCTGCTGCTGAAGTTTTTGCTTCTGAGGACAGAGTAAATACTGTCCCTTCTTAAATGTTGTGCTTGAACTGGTAGACTTTGCAACATGAATTATTATGTGTGTTTTTGTAGGTTGCCCAGCTCCCTCTCTTCATTAGTGATGGAAAATGGCATCATATCTGTATAACGTGGACAACCAGAGATGGAATGTGGGAGGCCTTTCAGGATGGAGAGAAGCTTGGCACTGGGGAGAATCTTGCTCCTTGGCACCCAATTAAACCTGGAGGTGTCTTGATCCTGGGTCAGGAACAGGTGAGTGAATGACAGTGTGTTTAGGGCTTAAAAAAAAAAATCAAACCTCCCCAAATAAACAGCAGTGTGAGAATTTCTTTGTTAAACACTTGATCCTGTGGTATACACAGTATCAGAAAGATTAAAACAAAGTAACAAATACTTAATGCAATCACACATTGATAATTTTATTTAATTTATTAAATAATTGGAATATTCATGTTGCAACTATTCCTACTCCTACTCTTAATGCTACACAGTGCAACTTTGTCAGTGAAATGAATAATGCCTTAAACCCTTTGAGCTGGATGGCTGGTAACTAGCAACGTGGCCACTGAAGTTACAGAAAAGGATGGAATTGGCCACTGCTGTTGTATGAGCAGTCAAAAAAGAGCTTGCTGAAAGAAGACCAAGCATAATTGCTTTGATTTGTTTGATTTTTTTTTTTTTTTAGCTGAAGCCAAATTGACTGTCCCCCGTAGCAGTTTACTGGTTTCCTCCCTTCCTTTCCTCTTTATCCCAAGAATCGCAAGAATGTTAGTCCTTGAGCCCTGGGATAGACCAAGGGAAGTGTGTGTATGGGGGCAAGGGGACGAACAACTATGAGCACTGGAGTGCTTGTAGGTAGATCAGGATCTTTTATAATTTGGCCTGCTATGGAGAAGTCCTTCCAGACTGAATTCTGCAGCTTTTCAGGTATGTAACACATCTTTAGCATAGTGAAGTCTGTCACTCATTCAGAATTTGATGCCTACTTTAAAGATGAGTCTGAAGTCAAAGGGGCAAACTCTAAATCAGACATTTGTTTCCTCATGAATGATGTAAGTAAATAATGCTCCTAATGTGAGTGCTAATAAAGTTTGAATATTAGTACTGCCAACAGAAAGCATTCATGGTAAGTCCTTTTTGAATATTGGAAAAAAAAACCCCAAACCAAACCCCCAAAGGATTTTGAATCTTGCTCTTCTATTTAACAACTCATTGAGCTATTGCCTATGAACTGTGTGGCTCTTTACATTCTTCTCTACCTGTTCTTTGTATGATTACACATATACTAAAAAATGAGTAGCAGGAAATAGACTTTCTCCAGGATTCCCAGGTTCACAATGGGGCAATGAAAAATTAGTTTTATTCTGATATTGATTTTAGTAGATACTTATCCATGACAGAATGGTAAGCTCAGAATCCTAATACACGCTGCATAGCAGATGCTCCAGCTCACTGAAGTGGCTGGCAGCTTTTCTGTAACTCTCTCATGATGTTTGCCTGTACTATGCTTTGTTCTAACCTATGCTATCAGTTTCGTGTTAGTTCTGATTGCACAAAATGTGTGATTTCTGTTCTTGAATAGTGGATTGAGCAAGCAAACACTTTTAGCCTTACACAGTAGCAGTTTGAGTTAGTCATTTGGTACAACCAGAAGAAGCCTGTGTATTTAGATTCAAAGATTGCCTTTTATAGGCCCTGCAGAAAACTGGTCAAGGGCTGCAGTTACAGTTTAATCTATAGCAATAAAGCTTTTGGAGTAACCTGACAGATCTGTGCAGTTCTTGCTGAAGTTCTCCTGTGCCAAGCTTGCAAAATGGGTCCAAAGTTAGCCTCAGTATTTAAAGCTGCCTTCCTGCTCTACTGCTTGTGGGCAGGGTTAGTTATGCGTAGCCTTTGTGTGATGGTATGCGGTCACTGCTGTTAGCCTTGAATTGTTTTGACACACTTCAGATTGGAGCTTTTAACTGTTCCATAGAACATCTTGTTCAGAGTAGCCCTTCTAGAAACTTGAAGTTGTTTGTCTGACCTAGCTCTGCACCTGCTAGCAGTGTGGCTGGGGAGCGAGTGTCTTCAAGTCTGAAGAATCAAATATTGAAATAACCTTCTCTAATCCTAAATCTTGTGTGCCTAAAGGACACAGTAGGAGGAAGATTTGATGCAACTCAAGCCTTCGTTGGGGAGATGAGCCAGTTCAATATATGGGACAGGGTATTAAAAGCTGAAGACATCATGAATATTGCTAACTGCTCTACCAACATGCCTGGCAACGTCATACCCTGGGTTGACAACAACGTTGACGTATTTGGAGGTGCTACTAAATGGCCTGTGGAGACATGTGAAGAGCGTGGAGACATGTTAAGAGCGTCTGCTAGACTTATAGCTGCAACTGTTTCCCATTCAAGTGCCCCCTTTAGTAGGACAATCTTCTTTGCAATCTAAAGCACTTATTTTTCTCTCTGCCCTTCCCCAATCTTAATTCCTCAAAAGAATAAAAAAATTGAGTAAACTGCCTCAGTGCAAAGACAGCTGCTAGTCTGGGGCGTTGAGCCTGACAATGAAGGAAGCACTTCCTGGCTAGAGCAACCCTTGCTTTCTTATGACCTGATCCAAAAATATGCTTTGGCCTGCCGCAGCCTTTCGGTTAGGCCTGAGTTTAGTACATCAGTTCTTTCTGGCAGGGAGGGGGAACAGCCATGCACATGTTAACTATAGTGCTCCTTTTGATAATGTGCAGTGTTGACAAAGCACTAAGATTAACAGGCGAAGTATGAATCCTTCCTTCCAGTCTTATCGTCTCCCCTTTGAATTGAAGCCATTCTTTTTTAGCCCTTTTTAAAGAAAACACTTAATGCTTACACTACAGTGGTTATGGTTTAACTATGGGTAAAGCAGAACAGCCACTGTCTGAGTGCAAGGGTTGTGCTTTTTAATTTGGAGGTTAGAAATCCTTATTTTATCATAAGGAGGCAATGTATTTGAGACATACTATTCTAGTTCAATTTAAGGAGAGAGTGTAATCAGCATAGCTCTGTTGAAATAGCAATGCTTCAGGTAAGGTTCTGTCCCAAAGCCTGTCTCTGGCTAGCTGGGATCCCAGCGTCAATTGGTGGGTGAAAGATTGTATTTGTACTTTCTGTAGGCTGAATGTATTGAATTCGTAGTGACCTGGCCTGTAAACTTTTCTCTGTTTCTCTTGCTTTGGTCAATGTCTCTATTTTTTCTTTTAAATATACAAGCTGTGATTAAGTGAATTTCTGTTTTGCTTTGAAAGGCCTTTTTATGAGCAAGTGCCAAAGTTCAGTTTCTGCTTGCTGAGAATTGCTATATATTTTTCCAGCATAAGTCTTCTGCGCTGTTTTCTGTGTTACTATAATGGTCCTATGTAATATGAAAATGTGCTGATTTTTCAATTCTTGTTGACTGTCTCTTCTGTAAGCACTAGGCTGACTACTATATTTTTTTATCATTTTTCTCTCAATATTTTGCAAACAATGTTGCTGTTTTCTTGGCATTGATGTGGCTACTTGGGGGGAAGGGGAATTTATAAAGCTAAATATCATATTTTATTTTTCATATGTTTGAATTGTAAGAATAATATGGTGACAGTCCCATTTGTAGGATAAAGTTACATATTTCCATTAATATGTAGTATGCTGTTCTTAAAAGAAAATTCTTATAATGAACTTTTAATTAAAATGCACTGTAAAATGAGTCTTCTTTTAATTCCTTTGTAGTCACACAAGACACTGAATGTTCTCTCCTATAGCTCCTGTGAGCTCAGCTACTGTCTCTCTAGACTGATAGAAGTACAGCCCTATAGGCAGTTACCATTATTCCTTAAATGTCTTAAGGTGCAACCTTCACTGGGGCGAGGCTTTCCACATGCAGCTGTGGTGGGGTGGCTGGAGCTCAGACCTGCCTCCTGCCACTGCTGTCTCATGGGCACTGGTCTGTGACATGGCCTGGGGTACCGCCATTTCATTGGGGTGGGATGGGACACAGAGCATAAGGTCATATTTATTTTGACAGTTGTGAAAAGCTGAAAGTATGACCCCTTCTGGCTGTAAGTACAGGTTGTAGGCAACTTAGATGTCCTAAAGCAGTGTGAAAAGAACTGATCAATGATGAGAGGACTTGAAATGTGATAGCAGAGGCACTATGCTGGTGCAGGTTGTGAAACGCAATGTCCATGGGGCCTGCCAGTAAACCAAAGGCTCTGCTTGATAAGCTAACAAGTTGATAGTGCTCTCTGTAAAAGAACAACCAGCTGGGGCAGAAATGTTCATCCTGCTCTGCCATCCTTCTCTGGCTATGGGGAGTTTGAGGTTTCTGAGACATGTAACAACTTGATTTCAAATGTTCTCATTGTGATTTGCCTTAAAACAGACACCTCCCTGACCCACAGCAATACTTTCCCTGCCCTAAGAGAAAACCAAAATGCTCTCAATGTTGGAAGAATCTGTGCCCTAAGATCAGGGACAGTGCAAAATTCCCACCTCACATGAACTGGAGACCAGCAGAGATGTCAGCCCTCCAGTCACTGAGCCTTTCTTTATCAGCTTTTTTTCAAAAGGAGCTGAAGTCTGGAGTTACCTGTGCTGAGGTCTGCTCTGTCAGGAAAGAGCTTGTGTATTTCACTGTTCTTAAAAGATGCCATGGTGGAATTGTCTTGGATGCCTTCCTTTATGGCTAGCAGCCTGTGTGTGGATGCAGTCTATCGTCTGAAACACTAGTTCAGTGTTTGGATTCATTGGTTGGCTGGGGGAAACAGAAGGCCTTTACACTTCAGCTGGCCAGGGTGATGTTTATTTAGAGTTATTTAAATACACTAGCAATCTTCTGTCTTTAGCACCGACTTTGACAATAAACACCAGAGTAAAAAGCTCCACCTGTGTGGGGAGGTGTTTGTGGGTGGGGGCTGTAAGGGCTTTGATCTGTGCACAGTGAGAACACCTGGTCTGGGGGCTGTTGTTGGGCTGGTGCTGGAAAGGGTGGCTGCTTGCTTCCTTGAGCTCTGCGGAGGAGGATTGTAACGGGGCCACTCTGCACTGCAGAAATCAATACTGGAAGTTGGCTTTTTTCTAAGGTATGTCGAGGTGTTCAGATGAGAGGGTGTTTGGGGACATGCATCCTGTTACAGCCTGACCTAGAGCAGGGATGGATCTTTTCTGCTAAACAACTTGGTCCTCTGGTTTTCAGTTTGTTTGGTTTTTTACTGATTACATAACCAAGATGGCAGGGATTTGGGGAAAGGGTTTGGGGTTTTTTTTAGACACTGACTCTTTAATAAAAGCCAAAGCTAAGCAGTATACGTTCTGCTGAAAAGGGTTTTTTTTATTTTTTATGTTATATGTTCTTTCTCTTGTGCAGTAGTACCTTTTTGATTAAAAAGAAAAGATGTGTATTGATTTTTGTACCTGTATCTTGTGATGAAAAGCTACGGCTGTTATTCTGCTGCTCCACATTCTGGGAGTCACGTGTTTCATGTGCATATATAAGCAGATGGCAAAACAGGAGTAAATATTACCATATTCCAGCATCTATACTGTTTATGGAGTGTGGAAGTGACAAGACAACCTTCATTCCCAAACTGCTCTGAATACACAGAAGTAATAACTTATGGAAAGCTGAGTGACAGCTACAGCACTTGGAACATGCAGTAATACAGATTTCTAGAAAATCTGTTTCTGTTTCAAAACAGACAGAGCTAGGACTCCTAAAAGCGCTATCAGTGATGCTAACAAGTCAACCTCTTGGGAGCTGTGAACTTCTAGGTGTCCAGATGACTGCCTGGGTGTGAATGTTGTTCAGTCAGTTTTTGTACTGCACTGTTCTGCTTGTATATATTTGGTGCATGTAATGGCTGTCGAGCAACGAAGGATCTAGCATTTGGTATGTTTAAATCCAGGTTCTGTTTCTTCAGAGATGGTTCAGTTTTTTTGACTAACTAGCTGGCCGTTAGAAAATGTAGATCATATCATACGTATGGTATTTGCTTGAAGGCTTTAGCTACACACTGGCTGTCTAACTGGAGCCGAATGTTGCTGAGTGCAGGAGGACCACTTCTGTGCTTCTGGGATCCCGTTGTGAGTCAGGAACCGACTGCCTCACGCAGGTTGTGTTCTGCTGGGCAGCGCTTGCTCATGAAACTGTTAGCTTAGGTCTCAGAAACGCAAGGAAGACCACAGAAATTCTTCCTAGTAAAGCTCTACCCTCATTTTTATTCACACTTCCCCAGTGTTTGAATACGTGAGACTACCAGGGAGAAGCTGATTCTGTTTTGCTCCCGCTCGGGCCTTTCCTAAGGGTGAAATGTAGGCCAGTAGCAAAGCCGATGCTTTGTGTTAGGTGTTTAAAGCTGGCACTTTGTCAATCAGGATAACTGTTGTTCTAAAAAAATGTTTATATACAGAGTACACTTTCTTCTTGTGTGCTAATGGCACCTATCTCTATGCGTAAGCATTCTTCATCCAGCTGATTTCAGTTATTCTGGTTGGGAGGGACAATCAGCCTTCTACTGCATCATCCTCGGGGGGCCGTGAATCTTACTAGCAATGCGGATACAGGAGAAAATGGCCTGGCTGAGGCTTTTACCACAGGTGATGTTCCCTTGATGCTGCTGTAGGAGTCTGAGGCTAGGCACAGCAAGTGCCCTGCTGAAACAGAGACCTACTGATGGAGAGAGTCAAGTGCCATCAAACTCCCTGCAGAAATGAAAGCTCTCTATTGGTAGCTAGGGAATCTAGGGGTTTTGAAAGTGTTCTGGGATTTTTCCAGAGACTTTTCACCAAAACATTTTTTTTTTTTTTGTGCACGAAGAAGAAGATGGACCTTGATAATGTTCATAGTTTAGCTGTGAGGCTTAAATAATACATGAGTTTTATAGAGCTAAACATCTTCTGGAAAGAATTGAATTAATTGCAGCCCTAGCTATAGACATTTCTAAAAGGCTGCACTTAGAAAAGTATAAATTTGCACAAGAAGTTCAAAGGTCCGTTTCTTTCTCCACAGGAGGGCTGGGCTGATGTTTTGGCAAAGCTTCAAATGCAGAAGCTCCCTGATGGCTTGATGCCACTGAGAGAGATTGTTTTCTTTATTAAAGATGCTTTGGCGTTTCACCCGAGGTAGCTCCCAGCACACGTTCCTCCCAGCAGTGCTGTTCCCAGGTGCTCCCGCCACGTGAAAGATGCCAAGCTGTCTGCTTTGCGGTACCCACCGCTTGTGATACCGGTTAGCTTGGACTGAATCACAGGGAGTAGAGCTTACCCCGTGAAGGGCGGTCTCGAGTGTCTGTGGCACGGTGTGTGCTTTTCGTCTGTACTGAGAGGTGTTTGCCAGAGTTTTGCCCTGGTGTTTAGATCACTGAGCTGTTCCGCCAGCGGTTCTGGAGTGCTCATTAAGAATAAGGATTCAGAAAGATAACTGAATGACTGCTTCTT